TTTAGGAAGGTTGACCTTGGGCCTAATTCCCTTTCACATAAAAATCTGCATTTCAGTAGACTTCCTGGCTTGTAGCTATCCGTTCAAGATGACAAAATAAATTTTAATGCATGTTTCCCAATATTTACAGTTAATTATCCATAGATCTGATTCTTTTACTAGAGCAGCTGGGAGCCAGCAGGGGGGAATATTAAATCTGTGGTTATATTTAGATGTCTTTCCCTAGCCCATTGAAACTTTTACAATAGCTTTTCTGTTTATTTGATTTATGCCTCCCTTTGGCTCCCCTGCCCATATTGTTTGGTGCTTTATGTCAGACTTAGGCCTTTCGTAGTATGTACTGCCTCTTTCCCCACTTGTTCTATCTTGCAGGCAAGTCCCAAAGAAATCTCATTTATTTTGTGCCTTAGAATGTGGCTGCTTTGTTGACAGCATGATTTAAAGAGATATATGGATGACTGAGAAATGATTTGCCCAAATTTGGCCAGATGTTTTTTAGATGTGATTGGAATTACATTGCCCTTGTCTGCAGGGTCAGGCAATATTAATGCCTCAAAACTTCAATTGCTTGTGGACCCCAACTTCTGTCTTTGGTCTTTGAAGATGTAAATGTGTATCATTTGGCATGTAACATTAACATTTTCATTTTTAATTTTTTACTGTTTGAATACTTCTAACAGTTGAGACCAGGGGTGGGATTCTACCAGTTCACACCTATTTGCTAGAACCGGTTGTTAACATTCTAAGCAGTTCGGAGAAATGGTTGTTAGAAGAAATTACTGGCTTAATCCTGTAAGGAAGGCAGGAAGGAAACATTCTGGTGTTGCTTACAGAAACTGCCTCTCCGTTAACCCTTATTACATTCTTGGCAGGACTAGACTTCCTGTCTCTGGAACGTCTCTGAAGTTTTTTTTCCTTCCTCTTCTGGTACTTTGCTTGTGTGGAGTGACCATTCAAAGTTACAATGACACTGAAAAAAGTGACTTATGACCATTTTTCACACTTACGACTGTTGCAGCATCCCCAGACATGAGAGGCCAGGCAAGGAGATGCGTGCCTCGATATGAGTGATATTGAGTTGGCCATGCCCAGCCAATAACATGACCACCAAGCCACGTCCACCCAGTCACATGACCACCAAGCCACACCCACCAACTAAGCCACGCCCACAGAACTGGTTGTTAACAATTTAAATCCCACCCCTGGTTGAGACCCACAAGTAGGATTCTCTAAATTTTTACTGTCACCTGCCGTCACTTCCAAACTATCACAACTTAGCCATCATATTGTAATACAGCTTTATTTATAACTTCATTTGATGCTGAGGTTACTATTTATATACAGTGCCTTCCAGTAAATCACTTTGCCCTGTGTAGAAAATTGAATGTTAAAATCAATTGCCTTGCTCCATATTTCTAAATGTTTGTGTAATGGATGGATTACACTGGCATGCACCCATCTCACTGGCATATCTGTCATCTCAGCGTCTGGATTGCATCAATTTGTTAATTTTAATCAACTTTCTATAGTCAGCATAAATCGTTGAATGTAGAAAATGTGACACATTTACTCTACTTATTATTTACTTTGGCACTGTGCTTGCCTAATTGAAGTCTTGAACAAAATGGAACGAACTAGAGTGTTACCAGTGGGACATTAATGAGTAGCATGACTAACATTCTGTCTGAATTTTCCTATGCATCAGAACTAAGAGCAAGGTCAAAATAGTTATGTATCCATTAGTCAATGGAATTTAACATTCCTGATAATTAGTTTTTCATTTAGTATAGAAATTGGGACAAAAACAGTTCTAAGGCTAATCAAATAAATTAAAATAAAACAGATTGTAGGGAATTGAATCCAACAGTTGAATGACCTCTGGTGCCTACTACTGGTCCTACTTATTACTTACTTACTAACTTTTTATTTTATTTTATATCTTATATTTCCCCCTCAAAGAGTTAGAACTCATGGTCTATGGCCACCCAATTCACACACAGATTACTTGGGTGGCTTACAACATTTAAAAATCCACACATAAAAATCCCACCTCACCCATCCATGGCCTCAGCAAAATCAACCACTTGATCAGCTCCATCTCCATTCGTGGCCTCCAGGCCGACTGGCAAAATCAGATTTTTAGGGTCTTTTGGAAAAGTACCTAGGAGGAATGATGTTCTGTGGGCGATCATCTATTCTAGAAGACCCTTTTTCATGGTCCCACTAGATGTACATTCCTAATCGATGGGACCCTGAAGATACTCTGCTCTCTTTTCCTGGAGGGCCAGAGTGATATAATAGGGGAGAGACAATCCTTCAAACCCCTGGCACCAAGCCTTGTAGTGTTTTAAAAGTGGTAACCAGCACCTTGAATTGTACTTCTTTTAAACAGAATGTTTGTTATATGGGTATGTATGCATGCTGATGTATTCTGTTTAGGACTGATAGGTAGCTGTACAGTAATATCAATAAAATATGTATGCATATCTGTGATATCCAAGTCCCTCTATCCATTATTGACATCAGTGAGAGATATTAAATAAATTAATAAAATGGAAACAATTGCGTTTCTGAGTTATGCATGAATTCAACCTGCATAGCTTTCAGTGTCATATTGTATGTGTGTGTATTTAATACATATTTGAGAATATAAAAAGCTCTTTCTGTTTAAAGTTTCTATTCTCATAATGATTCCAAGTCCAGAAGACACACTGAAGGTACAACTTCTGGTATCTCTGGCATTATTGTTTTTCAACTCTCCTTATAAATAATTATTGTTGAGGAAGGCAATACAGGATTCTAATTCATACATTTATAAACTGTAATGAATGGAAACATCTGCCTTTCATCTTAATGAGACTAGTCCCTAGGAGTGAGGACAGTAAATCAAAGTTGTATCTATAAAATAGTCTTAAAACTTTGCTCGTCACAAACAAAAACAATTGTACCAGTTTAGACTGAAATTGAGGTGTTGTTTGATAAGTTATTTTCTTTACAAAAATTAATGCTCATAGATACAGATTAACAGAGTTGCAAGGGACCTTTGTACATCATCTAGTCCAACCCACACCCAAGCAGGAGACCCTACACCGTTTAATATCTTGTGAGAAATAAGGCTGTGTTACAGTCCTCCCTAGTCTTCAGAGTATATGACATTTTTGGTATTTAATTACTTAAATGTTACCCATACTCTGTGCTACTGTAAATCAGATGTAAGATTATCTCATATGATATATAGGTCTCAACTGTGGGACTACATTGGACTTAAAACAAGTTGTCTTAACTACAGTTTTGTACTGTACTTATGTTTAGTAGTTGATTGAATTACTTTGGCCATGGCTATTGGTGGCAAAAGTCTGCAATCAACTTCTCTTTCTGGTCTTCAGATAGACAGACAAAAAAACAAGGAACAGATAAAAATGGAGTTACTTTAGCAACAGTATCTTAGATCTTCCTGTTTTCACCCATCCCAAATACATGGAGGGTAAACTTGGAACAGCGAGAGACTTCAGGAAAGATCTGATTGAATTACCACACTATTCTTTGGGGCCAGTAATTAAACCAAAGTCCCAATAGAGCAGTCACAATTTAGGTGGCAATATATGGCTCACTTAACATCTTCAATGACTCTGAGAGCTTTAAATCCCTGTGTAATCTTTGGCTAGGCTTCCTCCTAGCACTTTTCCCAGCCCCAGTTCCTCTGCCACAGATGTTTTTCTCTTTGCAGAAAGGAATCTATAGAATCTGGCCATTTGATTAGAAAGAGAAAACAGGCCTTATGATTAACTAAATCTCTTAGGTACATGCATGCAATATTATGCCAAGATGCTCATTTCATCGGTTGTTTTTCCCACAAGTCCTGAACTTATCCAACAGTATGGTGTATTGTACATTGTTATGCAATGCATGGTAAACAATAATAGTACAATAGTAGGGCTAAATATACTCCCACCACATTTAAAATATCTCTTATTTCTCTTGCTGTCTAATTAATAATGTTTAGGTATTGGCAAATAAAACTATTGTCATGATAGTCAAATTGATGGTCCAGACACAAGATGTCATAGAAATAAAAAAAGTACCTGTTAGTTGAAGCTTAAGAATTGATTTGTTTAATTTGGGGCCAGCAAGTTTTGTGAACCAAGCCACTATAGTTTGTGAACCATGATTTATGGTGAAGAGCCAGTCACTAGTACTTTATCTAATGACAGTTAAACAAGCTATGGAACGTATAAACCTAGTCTGCCTTGGCTGATGGAACCAAAAAGCTGACATTGAATTATAAAACTAAGAACAGCCATTCTGATTAAATCTTGGAGAGACTAATAGGGCTGTATACTAGCCTGGAAGTTTTTTTAAAAAAATGGCCCAAAAGAAGGCAATACCAAACCTGTACTGTTTGCAGAAAACTGTATCTGTATCAAGTTCAGGAGCTTTTACTTTTTTTCTTTAAACTCTGTGCAGGTATGCTGATAAAAGAATTGTAGACAATTGTCCAGCATGCCTCTTTAACCATTCTTTGATGCATTGGTTCACTTGAGCAAGTCAGCTTTTGTATTTCTGTGATCTATAGATTACCCGAAATGTCAAACTTCATAAGGACATTTCTCCTTATTACATTATTATAGCTACCAGAACTGAGCTGCAAAAAAACAAAACAAAACAGATCATTACTAGCAGCAGAGATACAGAATATTCTAACTCGTCACCATTGTCTTATGACTGTCCTGATTTTTACAGTCTAGAAGATCATTAATTAGCTTTCATTGTTCTGAATGCAAAATATATTGGATGCGAGATACTTGGTTACACAAGTTTGATTTTTAAAATAATAGAATTCAATGGAAATTTCTTCACTATATTGAAATAATGCTTTAATTGTCAGATTTTGTAGGGTTCGCCCCCTCCCCCCAAAATAAATAAATAAATACTGATAGTCATCAGAGTTCTCTAATCCTGACTGGTCTAATGCTCTTGTCATCTGCTTTCTTCATCTCCAGGCAAATGTGTAAAGAATTTACTGATCTTTTGGCCCAAGACCGGACACCCATTGGCAATAGCCGACCAACACCCATCTTGGAGCCAGGGATCCAGAGCTGCTTGACTCACTTCAGTCTCATCACTCACGGCTTTGGCTCCCCAGCCATCTGTGCTGCCCTGACTGCTCTCCAGAATTACCTGACGGAAGCTCTCAAAGGAATGGACAAGATGTTCTTGAACAACAACTCTGCTAACAGGCACACTTCTGGGGAAGGACCAGGTAGTAAAACTGGAGACAAGGAAGAAAAGCACAGAAAATGAAAGAGAGAGAGAGAGAGAGAGAGAAAATAAGAAAGCAAGCTAATGAAAATAGGGGGTAAAACAGAAAGAAAAGATTGAGAGCGATCCTTTGGGAGGAAAAACATTTAATTTTAGCTTTAAAATATTGGATTGGGTTTGGAAGAATTACGCTAGGTAGGTCACATCTGCAAGTAATTTTAAAAAAGAAAATAAGGTCAGAGGCGCACAGTGGAACAGGAAGAGTGGCTCAGTGGCTATGGCAAAGAAACTTTTGAAGATAACATCCAGGATTTTCCACTTCTGTCATCCCACAATACTTTTTTAAAATAATTTTTGGTGGGGATGAAATTATAACAGATAAAAGCAATCAATAATTTATTGGAAGAATCATTTTGATAATGTTGCTATGTTGGCCGAGGTACACAGTCTGTTTCTGTATTATTACTATTTTTAAAAAACCTATCTAAAGTAGAAAGAAAAACCTAAGGGATGGATATATTTTATATTGGACTTTCCATTCAGACCACGTTTCCTGATTTTGTGCAAATTTTTTGCTGTTCCCTCTCTGTGTGGTCTGAATAGCTGGGCCTCAAATTGGTCAGTAGCATTTGGCCAAATTATTTTCTAATAGTGGGAAGAAAGGGGGAAATCTGAGTCTGTCCAAACTATGAGTCATTAAGAAGAATTATTAGTAACTACACACAGAGGTGATGGATTCAGGCTGTGAAAATGTTAAAATGTAAACTAACTACAGTATATGGATGAGTAAGTGGAAGAGCTAATGGATTGCTCTCAGGTGCCTCTGCTTGCTCTGGATACCTACCTAAAGTGTTAATCAAATGCTGCCCGCTTAACATATTTAATCCTGAAATTTGGGGGCTGCAAATAATCATTTTTTTCTATCCATAAGGATGTGTATAATTTGTGTATATATGCTCCATTAAGGTATTGGATTGGATCCAGACTTGGTCATATTTGGAGGAGACCCGTTGTAATCAATACTAGCCATTACTAACTCTAGACCTACAACTCAGCATGACTAAGTCTGAAACCAAATAACTGACCACAAGAGTCAACCCTTTGTTTCATAATAAAATACGGCTATCATGAAGTAAACATTTTCATGAAGTTGTACCTGTGGAAAAAAATGTTGCACAGGCATGCAACAACTGTGAAGAACAGGAAAGGGAAAAGGAACATTTCTTTTTGTGGACAGATATAAAGATCAACATGCCTTTTCTTTTCAATTGCAACTTTTTTCATAACTACTGTTGTACGGAGGGCAAATGTTACTACTGAAATGGCCCTGTGCTTGAAACTGGTAATCTAGTTTGTTTGATAAAAAAATTTCTAAAATACACCTGGAGCTCTCACCTGGAACACTACCTTTTTACATTTCTATGAAATACCATGTCCTATTGAAGGGGAGGGTTCGCAGTGCCCCACAAGAGGCACAAATGAAAGTGTGTGCGACAAAAGTGAAAATCCATGTATGGAAGAGATTCATGTATTACATTGGAGTGCAGATAGGCCTCCTACACTGGGAACAGTAATGGGAAGAGATAATGTCACAGATAATGATATCAGTCTGTAAATTTTTATACTAAAATTTGAGCAATGACTGACTCTCTTTAAAATGTCTCAGATCACAGACACACTCTTTGTTCTTTTACAGAAATGTTAATAAGAAGAATGTCTTGATAAGTATGTTAAACCTTCTCAGGAGTATGCACCTTTTTAATTTTCTTCTGTTTCCCAAAGCTTTGCCCGCTTGGCTTATGAGCTTCTTCAAAGAGGACTAGAGCTCCGTACACATTTCATCAGGTACTGAGATGAAAATCCACAATTCTGACACTTTTCCTTTTCAAATCAAAGTCAGTTGTTTTGGAATTCTGCAGGTGTACTTCTTTAAAGAAGCTCAAAGGGAATAGATTAAATAAGGCTTCACTAACTGAGCAAATGATGCTGATTTGGAAGCAAATACTATGTCCTCCAAAATTATAAAAAGAGAATTGGGAGGTGGGGCAATAGTGTTTGATGCACAGAGTAAAAGCAGATTTGTTAAATATATTTCCTCTTTTAGAGAAGGTAATAAGAATCATGGCTCATTATTCAATTAGTATCTAAATTTAAGGAGATCTATTTCCCCTCATTATCAAAGGAGTGTTGCAAATTTTGACTTGGGAGATAAATAGTTATCTTGACCCTGGGGTGGAAGAGGAGCAATTGGCCATTTTCCAATAATTTACAGTGATTAAGTATGAATTACATTTTAAAAACATTCAACTCCTTTTTTTTGGAGTAGGTAGGAAAAGAAACCACCCTTAAGGGGAAAATGAATGTCATCCTGCTGTATGTTATCACTTTGCAAGGGTTTTGTTGAATTGACAGTGGCTATGGTATTTCATGCATTTTGAAAGATTGTTTCCCTTTGTCACAACAGCTTGTGTCTATGCTTCATTTTGGCCTCACTGAATTCATTCTAGAAGATGAGAATAGGATAAAGATGTATTATGCCTGCCACCCTGATCCTAAACACATTATATGGCTGTAAGTTCCATTAATTTTGGTGGAATTTAATTCCACTTAAGGGAACATTGAAGGCTTGGGCCTATGGCTAATCATCCATGAGGAAGTCCATGAAATGCAGTTTTCAAATGCTATTTGGGTACTTGCAGTTTTCAGTAAAAGTTAGATCATTTCATACTATAAACTGGGATCACTTAATACAGCGGTGGTTAATGTTTCATTTGAAGCAACCACACATATCATATGCCAGACAGTTGCATCTTTTGCAGCATATATACAGAAATGTATCAATGTGCAGATGCTTGAAATATTCTTAATTTATAATTATCAGTAGTTTTTCCATATAGGAAGCTATACACCATAGGTGCTAAATTACGTATTGTAAGCTGACCCTGTGATTCCTAATTCCCAGCCAAGCCAATTAAGATGTACTTAAAACTATTTTTTCACATTGAGTGATTTTGGTGTCATGAATTCACCTTTTTAGTTGTTTTTATTGAGACATGTTCCCAAGCTCTTAAATAGGAGTCTATTGTCTATGGACATCTTAAGGCACCGTTTCTGAGAACATTTATCTAGGCAGGAAAGTTCATCAATCTGTGGAGCTTCCATCCATATATAATATCTAAATACTAAAATTGCAGTTCTATTGACTTTAATAGGAATTGATTTAATGCCAACTATTAGTTCAGTTGTGGGAGCGGCTTTAAATTCTGGTCTTAATTCATATCTGTCCAATTTCAGTGATGTTTTAGGAGGATGAGTAGATTAAGCACAGCATTTTTACAATAAGATTGTGATCATGGCTGTTGCAGAACTTGAATAACTGAGCTTCCATATGGCATTAATTCATTTTAATTAGGAATATAGTATAAACAATAGTTATGAAGACAACAACATACATGTTTTATTTTTTGGAGAGTGATATTATCTTAGTGTAGCCATTCTATTCTACTTGAGGGAAAAAAAGTTGGTTTATTTTTGCTGTCTTGAGTACTAGTGTTGTTGTTTTTTTAAAGCTGCCCAATTTATCAAGGCAATTAACAGGCTAAATAGTTAATATATTAAATATTGCAGTTTAGTAGGAACTGTCCCTAAGGAAAAAGAAACGTCTTCATCATGAAACACAGTAAACTCAAAACTGCAGTTCCATCTACCCAGTTTGTTAATTTATTTTTCAGAGAAATGAGTATTTGTTTGACTTGATCCTATTAAAACCAGTGGAATTTAAATGTGCTTAATATTGACTGGATTACACAGCATACTTTTAAGATAATTTTCTTTATATGACATACTTGAAAATTGTATCTTGTTTGTATGTCATGTCCATTCCAGCATCCAGAAAAAAGAAAGAAATGGAAGACAACGGATCTTTATGTTCATACTATTTTAGAGGATCCATTATAGTACTTGAAGGCAATTGCAGTATTGATTACTTTTCTCTTTTCTCTGAGTTTAGGCTTTCTTGCCAAATTTTATAAATATAGCAAGTTCCCTATTGCAAAATAAAAATAATTTACTATTTTCCTGTTGATATGAACATGAAAGATCCAAATTGAATTAACATTAAAAAGGCATGCTGAGGAAATATTCCATTACTTAAAATTCAACTGCTTGTGCCTAAGATACAGATTATCATTAAATTAAACAAGACATTGAGGCAGAAGAATTGAAAAGTTGAACAGCTAATCAGGAGATATTTTGCTCCTAATGGACATGTAACTGATATCGATTACTGAATTGCCTGCCTTTTACTTTTAAATGCTGCTAAAGTTTGTTGCATAACAACCCAGAGAAATCTGATTTGCTGTTTCAGAATAAAATTTGAAAGATTATGTTTGGGTGGGTATGGGAAGACCAATTATTATTTAGCTTTAAAGAGCAGGTGTTTAGAGGCATTATTTGATAAGCATGTCCCAATCTCAGCTTGCTGACCCTCAAACTAATTTAGTGTATGCATATGAAAGACAGAAAGAAATAGAAAGAAGTGCCAGTGGTTTTACTGGATAGGATCTTCTGCCCCAATAACTTGTTAACTATTCTAGGAGAATATTCTTTCACAAGGTGTTTTGTTTTGTTTTTGTTTTGGTATCACCAACAGATTCTGTGACCCTGCAGCAGAATGCACAAATGGATTGAGCAGTATTGTCTACACACTGATTGGCATCTTCATATTTTCAGAGATACATTTTGTGCAATCCATCCTTTGCTATGCCAAGCCCTACTCTTCCCCCATCTCTTATTTTTGGTAATTTTATTCATCATCCCATCAGTGTTCCTAGAAGCTAATAATCTGACCCATCTACTTTTAAGTTTTTTTTTTTCTTAAAGAACTTTGTAAATTACTCAAGCATATAAAAAATTGGTTGCCCATGCTACTGTTACATCACAGCTGCAGGACCCAACTTTTTCTTGAAGCAATGTATTAAAATAGCAGTTATCAATACAGTCTTAAAAGTAATTGCTACTATTTAAATCTCATGAATAAATCACATGAGATTAATTTGTGAGATACATTTATGGTAAGATTAATTTATGAATCAATGATAACTTGGTCAAATAAAAAAAAAACATGACTCACTTTTCTAATCCCTGTAAAACCATGTAATATTTAAGCACTACCTATACAGTTCCACTATTGATCTATAGAATTGCATCATAAAGTCAGTGCACAAAATTTTGTCTTACATAGTACATTTTGTACTGTATTCCCTGCTTAAAGGGCAGTATTGTATTACTGGAGGAAACAGTTTGGTATCCCGTGGACTGTAGTTGTAGAAAAAAATATATTTGATCAAAACTCTTTAAAATGTCCAAGGAAAACTGAATGTTTTGATTACATGGGGAAAAACATAGTATTGTCATTTTAATTCATTTAATTTCCCCAGTATTATTGCAGACTTGGGGGAGTAGGAATGAAGTTCTTGTCACAGCTAATATCTAAATAGGAAGAAACAAATTTGCAATATCATTAAAAGTAGCTAACAATATAATCCTTAGCAGAAGAAGCTATTTGAAAATTCCTGTGTATCAAACTACTGTAAAAGAATCTATAGGAAAACCAGTATTCCTAAATTCAGAGAAAATTCTGTGGAAAAATGATAGTTTTGAAATTATATACATTTGTGGCAGCTAAAAGCAGGTATCTACCACTGTTGGTTCTCTTGCCATTCATTTCTGTTCCTTGATGAGAATGTGAAGTTTTGCCATTCTCTGCATTGTGATGCTTCATCTGCTGCACTTACTGGAATTCTTGTAAGCAGCCATTAAAGGCACAAGATTTTTGACAGAAAAAGAAGAATATACAAACTGAATAAGAAGCCAGTGTTCAGACTTTTCCATTTGTAGGATTTCTTGATCAGACAGTGGAAAAGGGTAAATTAACTGTATTTTAAAGGGTAAATTAAACACCATTTCACCAAAGACTATGACCTGCAATAGATCATAACCTTTGGTGGAACAGGTTCTCCCAGGCATAGAAATGACACGAGGCTTTATCAAGCGCTCCCACAATATCATTTGAAATAAAGTAATTGTCTCTCTCTTTAACAATCCAATTGTTAAATCAACCTTATTCTCCATTATTATAGAATTAAGATTGGCTGCTACTTGGTTGTGTCACTTAAAAGCTAAATTTGGAACACACTGACAAATACTTTGCCAAACACTGTACTCAGGCTTTTGTGCTTCCTGTACATCTTGTTCTATGTTTGGAAATTGTTCTCCTTTGTTTAAACATTCTGTTGTATTGAATAAATACACATATGGCTGGAGTAGCTTTGTTATACCCCCCCTTAAAAGAGAGACCACTGGTAGTTGTTCTGAAGCTAAACAGGTGTGCTACCATGTGTAATCTTTGGGTAATTTGAAATATCCCTTTATATAGCTCTCCAGTTCTGACAAATACAGTTAGCATCATTCATCAATGGCACTGCCCAGGAGCATTCGCCCAGGAATCTTATTTCTGATAGTTACCAGTCTGTTTTTCAGCTACATGATGTAAGAAGAATTGATGCTATGAATAGCAGAGATTCTTGGCACCTGTTGTTTCTTCTGGCTGTCAGCAGCTTCACATTCAACAGGTGCAACTTTTCCTATTACTGTCTTCTGGCCAGTTTTGCAGTAGATAAAGTCTCCGAGCCACATAGTAATAGAATCACCTTACTGGAAACATTCTGTTTGATTTCTAGAGTAATTTAGAGAGGAAGGTTGCATTAGTCATGA